GAGTTCTTCATGGGATGTGGGTCAGTGATGGGGACTGGCATGTGGGCAGCAGTACGTGCACTGAGCAGGTCATAAACAAGTTACAAGTTACAGAGACGTGCAATTTCTTTAATTCTAGGTTAGCTTTGAGCTGCTGCAGGCTCCTTTTGGAGAGCAATTCCATGGTGTGTGTGTGTGTGGCCCCCAAAGATCCCTCATTTCCATCAGGCAGCTATTGGCACAGGTTCTGGCTCTGCAGACTTAGTTAATTACTCCTCAAATTCCTGCTGCAAGATGAAGGTGCATTTTAGGGTTGTTTTGTTTATTCTGAAACAGAGCTGGAAAAGTCCAGCAGAAGCAGACAGTACTAAAAAACCTGTTATCAGACAGGGCCTCCATGGCACAGGCTCTGCAGTGCAGAGAGCTCCATCCTTATCCAGCAGCCCTGGGGTGTGTGCTGTGGTTGCTTTGCCATGGGGATGTCAGTACAGATTAGGGTTTCTCTTTTCTTTCCAAGCCCCCAACATGCAGAGAACCAGGAGTGTTCCCACAGTCTATTTCTGGATTTCTCTCAGCCCAGCTGCAGGGTTGAGTTGTGATTTGTGGGGCAGGAAGGCCTGTGGAGTTTTCCTAAACTACTGCTGTGCTGCTTGGAAAGGGCCCTTCTGTAATTGCAGCCTGAGCCTGAGTGGCTTTGAGGAGCTGCAGATGCAAGGGATGAAGCCAAACCTGAACAATCTCTGTGTGCTTCTCAAAGGAAAGGTCCACTGAGCTTTGTCCTGCACCCATGGGGGTTCTGCTGCTGTCTCACCTTGGCTGTGCTGGTGTTTGTGGCAGCAGAACACTTGTCCTGTTCCTGGGAGGCAGCAGGGATGTCCTGGCTGTGCTCCAGAGCTGGACCAGGACAGCAGAGCTGCTGCTCTGTGCTCCAGACCTGACCCAGGACAGCAGAGCTGCTGCTCCAAACCTGACCCAGGACAGCAGAGCTGCTGCTCCAAACCTGACCCAGGACAGCAGAGCTGCTGCTCTGTGCTCCAGACCTGACCCAGGACAGCAGATCTGCTGCTCTGTGCTCCAAGTGAAATGGGCACCATGTTCCAGGCCAAAACCAAAAGGGAATTTTTCTGCCAAGCCTCACCCCAGGTAATCCTTGAAACCTGACTGGAAATCAGTGCTGCTTTGCCTTGTTTGGGGTTACTCAGAGACATTTGATTCTGCTGCTGGGAGCTGATGAGAGCAGGTGTTTCTGCCGCTGTGGCTGCTGTGTGTCATGCAGCCATGGCTCTTCTTCTCTTTCTCTTCTCTTTCTCTTCTCTTTCTCTTCTCTTTCTCTTCTCTTTCTCTTCTCTTTCTCTTCTCTTTCTCTTCTCTTTCTCTTCTC